GGGCCATTTTAGTGTCCAGCAAGGAAGCCACCACCCCATCGTCGGCGCTCCATTTGGGGACCCACCAGGGCTGGGCTTGTGAGCAAGTGAGCAGCCGGGGAGCGCAATCTCCGGCAGCCCCGGGCTGTGCACCTGAGCTTGGCCACCCCCCGAATTACAGCAGGGGTGGTTGGAAGGACACTTAATGCCCTGTAAACACTGCCTTGAGAAACTCAGTAAAATAGGAAAGCAGAGTATACCGTACAGGTATACTTTACAAAAGCTGACAGTAAATTAAAATCGTTTGTAATTCACACGTGAGCAGGAAGATGGCAGAAAGGGGGACAGGGAGCTGAAGGGGAGGGCACATCGTGGGGGCTGGGGTGAGGGCCGCTGGGCCACAGGGCCTTAGAATGGGGTGATCAAGTGGGTCCCCGCCCGCCGTAGGAGCAGCCAGGGGCAACCTGGGTGTGAAGGTGCTCCCCAACTGTAAGGCACTCCCAAGCTAAGGAGATGTCATCTGAGTACCCACGGGTCCTCCAGTGACAGGAATGTTTTGGAAGAAGGAAAACAAACCAGCTTGCATCAGAGCGTGGCTGCTCTCCTGTTCTGATATTGGGTGCTCGCGATGGATGGGGCCAGGGGTTCACACTCAATTGTCTGGAAGGGAAGCAAACTTAGATGACAACAACGTATTAACAGCACAGGAGCGACATTTTAATTATTGCCTGGTTTGCATTTTCTTCCCAGGGTGGGTAATTAATTGTCAAAGATCATTTCTTGAAGCTGGATTCCTGGATCTGCTCACTTGGGAGGTAGACGTCCTCTCCTGAGGTGACAGAGGGAAGGGAACGACTCCCGATGTTGGGTGGGTGTCCCCACGGTGAGGACAGGGCTCTCTTCCCCCGAATTGTCTGGTGTAGGCAGGAGTGGGGACGTCGAGATCTGGGGCAGACAGGGGCTAGGGACCCGAGCGTGCTCCTGAGCCAGCCACCCCGCCAGGGGTCAGCAATACATGCCCTGCCCCCACCACCTCCCTTGTCTGCTGTCACCAGGAAAAGGCGCAGGGGTGACAGCTGGAGGGAGACCAGAGGAGGGTGGCGGGGCACCCGCAAAGTCAGCGCGGGTCCAGCGCTTCCTAAATTGTGCCATACCCAGCCAGCCAGGTTTCTCTGGGCACAGCCCGCGGGTAAATTAGATCTTTAAAACACTTAGGCAGGCTTTTGTCACTTGGTGTTAACTGTGTACGTTGCAACTACTTTAATTGGTTTCAAGTCTGGAATGAGGGACTGAAATGGAAGTGCGACTCTCAGGGGAGCAGTCCTGGCACTCAGATGGCTTGTCATATTTCTTTTTTAATCTGCTGTTCTTTTCCTTAGGCAAGGGAGGTAATCTAATCATCTCTCGAAGGCTAGCTCATGCTGCAATACGCCGGCGTGGGCTGCTCCCAGAATGTGGCCCCAAGAAGTGTGGGTGAGCATTGTGGTGGGGATGTGGGGGTGTGGCGTGTCCCCGGAAGCCTGCCTGCTCAGAAGCCAGGAGACTTTCTCCCCATAAGGCCCCGAGAGCAGGAGAGTAGTTTCAATGGGCACTGGCATCAGAAAATGGGATTTGAGTCCCACCCTGGCTGTGTGACTTTGCGTCAGTCACTTGCCCTCTCTGAGCCTCGATCTCCTCAGTTGCTAATTCTATCTTGGAGTTGCTGTGAGGGCTGAATGAGACCATGTGCATGCAGCCCATGCAGCCCTGGGCTGGGCGTGTGGTGAGCACTCAATACCGCACGGCTGCTATCACGAGCCCTCTGAGGACACTGTCTGCAGGGTGGGGTTGATCCTTTGATGAGCTGACCCAGCCTCCCTTGGGTGGGGAAGGTCCCGCATGGAGATGACTCACCCTGTGTCACCAACCACAGGGACAGGAGTTATTTTAAAACCCTTCTATGCACACGGTGCACAGCAGGTGCCCGAAAGGTGCCTCTTCCCCAAATTGCAGCAATTAATCTTGCAGGACATGCTGGGGGGGCAGCCGCTCACTGCTTCTGGGGCTGTGCGGGGTTTGCTGGCTGCAGCAGGGAACTCTAGCCCTGGGGTGCTCTGAGCCAGGGCGGCATCAGCCTCTTTCCTCCCAAGAGCAGGGCTCAGAATCTGAGCTGGGTTCTAGAAGTTGCAGCTCGCTCTTCCTTAATTTTTTTTTTTTTTTTTTTTTTTGAGACAGAGTCTCGCTTTGTTGCCCAGGCTAGAGTGAGTGCCATGGCGTCAGCCTAGCTCACAGCAACCTCAAACTCCTGGGCTCCAGCGATCCTTCTGCCTCAGCCTCCCGAGTAGCTGGGACTACAGGCATGCGCCACCATGCCCAGCTAATTTTTTACATATATATATCAGTTGGCCAATTAATTTCTTTCTATTTATAGTAGAGACGGGGTCTCGCTCTTGCTCAGGCTGGTTTTGAACTCCTGACCTTGAGCAATCTGCCCGCCTCGGCCTCCCAAGAGCTAGGATTACAGGCGTGAGCCACCGCGCCCGGCATCTTCCTTAATTTTTTATTCTTTAAAAAGTAATTAGTAAAAATAATATATGGATATTATTATAGTATAATATTATATATTATTTATATAATTATATTGTGATGATAATAATATAATGAATATAATACTCCTTGTATATCCAGGGAATATTCATCTATCTACCTATATCTTCATCTATTTATTACCTGTTATTTATCTGCATCTATTTATCATTTGTATCTATCATCTACCTACCATTTATTGATCCATCTTTAACTATCTAGTTATATCATCTATCTGCTATCTATCTATTATCTACCTATAACTGTCTATACCAATCTAGCATCTATCATTTATATCTTCACCTACTTATGTATATTGATCTGTCAATCTTTCTATATCTATTTATATCTAATTATCTCCTATTTATCATCAATCATCTTCTGTATCTGTCTATACCTATGTATCTACTGTATCTAGTCAGCATCTATTGTCTCTCTGTATCTAACATCTACCTACCATCTATCTCTGTCTCTATCATCATCTATTTTTCTAAACTGTGTACAAGTAGGACCCTATTTTCAATTGCCCATACCTTGCCTTTTCACTTGATACACCATAGGCCACTTTTGGTTTCAGTGGCTAGACATCTACTTTTTTTAAATAGTTGCATAACATCCCCACGTCTAGGTGCACCATAGGCTCTTTAACCAGTTCATGGTCGGGCTGCTTGAAGTAGTTGGCTGTCACAAGTTACCCCGCGGGGAGGTGCAACTGCGCGGACCTCGGTGAACCAGGCAAGAATGCAGGTAAATGCCTTGCAGTGGGATCATTGGTCGGAGGGGATATGGATTTTAAATTCCAATATATATTATCAAACAGTGCTCTAAAAAGAATGCCCCTGTTTATACAATCCTTCAAATTATTCTCAGGCCTGATGCTCACCTTGTCTTGTAAGCCCAGTGACTTCTTTGTCTCCCAGCCTGGATGGGGGAATCTTCATGAGGCTAACACCCAACGGGGCAGCCAGCGCTGCCAGTTTATGTGACTTTTATGGATGCGCCTGCTCCTATCTTCCCCATCACTGTTTCTCGTTTATGCTTTATTTATATCACCATACACAAGCAGTCCTGTATCTTGTTTCTGTCACCGTTTTTATTCACTTTCTTGGCATTCCTCTCAGGGTTTTATTAGTCGTTTCTTGTTCCGGCTCCTAAATTTTCTATCACCTGCGTCCTGGGGATTGGCTCGTATCCAGAAGATGATTAGAACAGGAACTGGTGGTGGCCGGAGAAACTTCCAGGTCCCCAGGGCGCTCGAGGCAGCTTCCTCCCCATTTCTGTCTGACGATTCTAGGGGTATCCCAGTCATGTCCTGCCCCACCTGCGCTGACAGCGGAAATTCATTTTTCTCTGCGTGAACTTGGGGATTTCTGCAAAGGCTTCCTTGAGAAGCCTAGAGCCGGGTGAGCTGCTGGGATCTGGGCTTTTGTTGCACCTGGAAAACACCAGGCCCAGGTCCAAATGCTCACAGACTTTTTATCCAAACCAACTTGGGGATTCTTTAGAGTCTGACTGAAATCCTTCTAAACTTGGTCATTGGAAAGCAGGCCCAGGAAACAAGACGGTGGGAAAGCCCAGTTGAAGAAAAATCACAAAGAAAACAAAAACATGTCCTGCAGAATCCCGAGTGAAATACAGTCTTCTGCCTTGCACAGAGCAAGACCTTTCGGCTTCATGAACTGTTGTGTACTAAAGCAAACAACAGTGTTGAAATTCACTACTATGTTTTGTGCTTTAATATTCTGCCTTAAAAAGTCCTGGTGGGCATAAGGACACCAGAAATGGTAACTTACTCGGAGAAATGGATAAGCTGGTGTCATATTTTGATTCAGAAAGATAAAATCTGGCCTCGTGTGACATTAAGTGATTCTCCTTGGCCAGGCACTAACCTAGATACTGGAAGTGAGAAAAACGACTCCATTTGTAAGTCTATACAAATCATACAATACAAATATGGTGGTGACTAGAGAACTCACCAACCCTACCCTCTAATTTTAAAATTGCATTTTGAGGACATAAAGTAAACATCAGATTTGGGCCTTCTCTACAACCTGGTTTCATTTTCCACTCCTTAGTGAGCTATTAGGTCGGATCTTGAGCAGTGGCTCTCGAGCAGGGGTGATTTTTCCCCTGCCCAGGGGGCATTTGGCAATGTCTACAGATATTTTTGGTCACATCTGAGGATGGAGGGCTACCCAGGGATGCTGCTAAACACCAACAATGTTTAGGGCTTGACAAGCCCATCCCCTCAACAAGTAATTATCTGGCCCCGAATGCCAACAGTCCCAAGGTTGAGAAAGCAGAATCTAAGAACATACGTGGCAGCTACACTCAGTCCTTTAGATCTGTTGTCAAAAAACCCCAGTATCTTGATACTGAGGATTTCTATGTATTTGTAGAGTTTTGGATTGTTTTCCAATGCATTAGGATAAAAGAAAAAGACACCACAATGATAATTTTTTTAAAAAAGGAAAACAATGTTTATTAGGATATTCTGGGGTGGGGGATGGCCAGAGGACTATGTACATTCCGTAGTGCTTGAGCAATAGGCTAACAGAAAATTCAAACATCACAAAAACCACTTCCAAAGTCCAAAGAGCAAAACTTGTACTTCTACATGTAGCTGTTCTTCCACAGGTGTCGGCAATAAAGCCTGCTGCAAAACAGCTGTGTGAGGAAGCCACGTGGGAATGACCCCAGGCCGAGGTACAGGTGTCCTCGGGAAAGCAGACACGCAAGACGATGAGAGAAATACATCATCTCCTACGAGCGGAGAACGCAGTCAACATACCATATAACATGGAGACCCGAAGGAAGATTGCCCATCTGCTGCCTCCCGAACTGGAGGCTTCTCAACAAAGCTCACTCGTGCCTCACCCCGGTTCTGAGGAGACTGGGTATCTGAACCCCTTGCTCAGGAAACAATTCTAAAAATATCCTTAATATCAGAAGCTTTCCTCTATTCCACACGTATATAAACCTGCATGAAATAGAATGAACATAAGCTGAGACGTACCCTCGGGTTAAGAGTAAAAAATGCAACACCATCCAAAAGAATACAACAAAAAAAATCCCACAACCTAAATCTCACACAGCTTCTCAGCAGGAGTTGGATTAAACAGAGAAAATAATTTCAATATCAAGGGATAATGCACGCGAGATGGGAAAACTCTTTAAAGCAAACTCCGCGGCGAAGCGTGTTTCCCCCCGCTCCCTTGGGTGAAGGAAGAGAGAAGAGGAGAAAGATAGATAATTAGGAGAACTATAAGGCCCTGGATTTGAGGTTTCTGAAACCATTTTTTCCCAACCCTCTGAGGACAATCAGCTATTTCTGAATCCAGAAAAGCACATCAGAAATGTTTGATGACAGCAAGACCACAGCCAAATAAGGCCGGGCAATCTGCGATTTGGTTCTGCGCTTTCCATTCTCTTTTTATTTTTCCCCACACTTCAGAAATGCCTTCAGCTAAAGCTAAAAAAATATAAAATCAAATTCCAGATCAAGCACGCTTTGCACGCCAGGAAGATAATGCTGGATCATACAGCCCTGCAGCAGTTGTAAGAGAGAGACAGAGAGACAGAGAGAGAGCGCAAGCACACTGGATCAATGGAGACTCACGCCAGCATGCTGAGAAGGCCCAGGGTAACTTCACCTGTACCTGTGATGGTCACCCAGCCTGGCCCCAGGTGACTGACTTTTACTGCTTTACTGACTTCTCACAGCCCAGGCTTCCCATACTCAGGGCATTCGCTGGATTTTACAATTCTTCAGCCTACTTCACTCTGGTCTTACGGTCTGTTATGTTTGGCAGACAGACGTCAGGGTCATTGTGCACATTCAAAGTTTTGCTCCTTTGCATGAGCCCTGCTGACTGCTGGCTTTCCTCAGCTACAGCAGCTCTGTCTCTTATTCCCACCTGCACGGTGGTTGGTCCGTGACAGTTGTGACAGCTCCACGGGTGTGCCTACCTGGCCAAGCTCTCAGCCCTCTGAGGCCCAGAGGAGTGGCAGCCTGAGTCCTCAGCTGGGGTGGCTGTGTTTGCTGTCCCCACGATGGAGAGCGGGCCTGGCCACCGTGTGCATGTGGACCAAGACTCGCCTCCTGGGAGACCAAGTCTGAAAAACAGTTTCACGAACTATTTATATAGAAAATTTAGAGTCTCTGAAGGATGTCAAATTAAAGGATTCTGCCAATCTGGAAAGGATGGGTGTTTGCCTACGCTGCTGTCAGAGGGTCCTATATTCTTAAGTGACTTGTCGGGGACTTTCAGCTCCAAATGATGGCTCATTTGGCCACAGTACTCATTCCACAATTATACTGAATTGATGAGCATCAGACTTTGCTTCTCAGGCTGCTGATGGAGAAGCTGTCATCCTTGGGACTGGTCTGGGACAGGGGAGTGGCCCACCTTTCTCACCAGCAACCTGAAGCAAGTGCAAGCCTCAGGAGACTCACTAGCTAATTTCCCCCAAGTGCACCCCATTCTGGGTTCTGTCCTTTCTGGCAGAAGGGGAGCCTGCTGGGACTGGCTGGTCTTGCTTAGCTCTTCCTGGGACAAGTGCTAGTTTTGCATCTCGCAGCAGAGAACACAGCGGGCAGCTTGAAAGCTACTTTGATCCCAGTGCTTTCCAAGATTCTTTCTCCCGTCATCTCAATAATCACAGGAGGACAAATTCAGTGTCATTATAGCTCAATGCCAGTAAGACTATGCAAACAGGCTAGCTGTTGCTGTTGGACGACAGAGCAAAGCCCTTCAATGCCCCAACGCTTTTCATTAGACCAGTGTTCTCTAAGTACCAATGATGGGTCGTGCCTTCTGCCAGGGAAGGCTGGGTGAGCAGGAAGAGATGTCAAAACTATGGAAGAAGCTGAAGCTCTCTGGCCAGTCTGCTGGCACTCTCTACAAAACAAAAATCGGGATCGGTAAGAAAGCCCGGCCTGAGACGCAGAGAAGAAAATCAGAGAAAACCTTCTACTGATGCTGGTGCTGGGCTTGGCAGCTGCCATTGAGCAAAAATAAACTCCCCATGGCAGTGGGACAAGACGCCGATATTGGCACCTGCCAGAGGCAAACAGCCGAAGTCGCAGCTGCGCTGGTCAAATGAGCTTGCAGACCTTAGGGGGCTGAGGCCTCGATGACTGTTAGCAGGCTGCGGTTCTCTGCAGGCAGTTTATTGAAATAGGGTTTGTGTGCCTTCCCCACCCCTCTGGGCTGGGTCTCAGAACAATCAGCGTGCAGGTGGCGCATCCCACGGAATAAGCACTCTGCCTTGTCTCTGGGGGGCGGGAGAACTCATCAGAGAACGAGGGAGCAGCAAAAGGATTCCTGGTGAGGATAAGACAATCCCAGAGCTAAGAAGAGGGAGCTCAGAAGAGGCTTGGGTAGAGGAACTTCCTATTTGGAGATTAACATCCCCTTCAGATGGCCTGGCTCCTAAGAGAGGCTTCTGTGTCTTAAAAACAACAAGGAGAACGGCCACCTGATAGCACAAGAATTAATTTGGGTAGAACTAAATATAGAACGATTAGAATGAAGAATTGTTGGGCAAGGCCTTATTTAATACTTAGGCAATAAAGAATAGGGTGGAGCTCGAGGCATCATTCATCAATACAGAAGAGAATGGAATCAGTCAATGTCTTAAGACAACTACCCTTGTGAAATGAAATGTCCTACAGAATACAGCCCGGGCTGGAGGCAGTGGCAAAAATCACAGATTTAAGGCCTCTGCAGTGAGAATATTTTTCAGAGGTACAGTCCTCAGGAAGAATTCTAGACAACAGACTGAAAACAAATGGTCAGTTGAGAAGCAAAGCTGTGTCAAAGTCAAGAGGTGTCAGATAGATACGTGAGATATCTATGATAGGGATGAGAGAAAAATGAAGCTTCTAAAGGCATCCAACCAAATCTCCAGCTGTTTTATTTTAGAATTTCAAAGAAAAGAAATTTCTTCCTCTGTCATCCAGCTATTAGCTCTGCCTCCCTTCCTGTAAAGGAACTGTTGCCTAATTCAAGGAACTCCTGCTGTTTTGTTGGAAGTTCCTATTCTGACCAGCAAGGAACATCAACAGACTACAATCCATTCACCCAAGACATGTGGCCTCCAATGCACCTTGATTTTACTTCATTTCTCCAAACTCTCCCAGCTCAGAAGGGCCTTGCTGCTATCGCTGTACCCAGGGCAGTGGCTTTTGGTTGTCGTTGCTTTTAGGTCTTTCTTGGAAAGATGGGTCTCACATAGTCTCATTTGCTTTATCAAAGAGCAGAGGCAAGAGCAGCAGAGATCACAGAGCAAGAATCCAGGAGATCAAGAACAGCCTCGAAAGAGAATTCGAAAATGTGAATTCAGTCAAGCAGCCCTTTTCTGGCCCACGGTTTATTGATTCAAATAAGTCGTGCATGTCTAACTACATGAATGAGAACTTATTTTCCAAAAGACAGCTCCTCTGAGGCCACTGTTTTGTAAATAATAACAACAGAAATGCATTTATGCTGGATTCTAAGAAAAGAATTCGCTAATTATATAAACTCCCACCGCTCTTACATCTCTTTTTCCCGGGCACTTTACAGTGATTCAGAAATGCTTTCGCTCTCCCACTTCCCTCGTACAGCAGATGGAGTGCTTGGGAGTGTCTGACTTAGGGGCGAGCAGGCATGTGGGAAATGGGAGGCAGGTGGAAGCGGCCCCTTCTCGAAGTGCGAACAGGAACAGATAGGAACAGTCTCAACACAGACCATATCCAAGGCTACAGCAGCCCTGGAGAAGCCCTGTCCTGTATTTGACGAACTCAAAGACACAGCTTATCTAAGACATCATTTTTTACTACAGGATAAATAATTGTTAAAAAAAAAATTAAATGGAAACACTCTCATCACATTCTGGATATAGTCTGCTATACTTCATGAAAAATAACCTATGTAATTCTCAACTTATACTTTTTCTATTAGTGGTTAGAAAAAAATCAGGTATGGAAAAATAAATATTCAGTTGGCATTTTAAATTCCCTCTCTATATTGTGCACTTCTTCCTTCATGTGCTCTATTAAAAAGATACTCAAACATACATTAGTCAAAGATATTCAACATCAAAGTGGAATGATGTGCTTCTAATCAGTGCGGCAGTAATGCCTTTTTTCTCTTTCTCTCTAAAATAAGTAGGGCATGGCTAGACTTGCTTGATCTGGGAGTCATGGTCTGCATGGATGTCAGTTACTGGTTTTTTTGTCAAAACCAACTACAATGAGCTACAAGAGGCCCAAACCTCAGCAGACAGCCCCTGTACTCAGTGGCACCCGGAATGTCCCGACTAAAGGACAGGAAGTAGTAAACCATTTTTGCTTTTAAGCACTCTAAGAAGAAGTGAGAGAGGTAAAAGATTTAAGTCATTCGCCTGCTCCAGTCCTGGGGCAAGTGATGGTGCTTCAGAGTCACTGTGTTAGACAGAGATCACACTGAACAGCAGAAATCTTGCTTGGCTTGCTTTTGTAAGAATCTCTCTAACTTCTTGTCCTCGAACAAGATGATTCCCCTTGTTTATTTAGTCGGCAACTTATTTTCAAATTGAGGATTTGGTAACTCGAATATGCTTTTGTCACTGAAGAAAAATGAGATCTTTGTTGGTGACAGATGAGGGTTTTCAAAATTTCATTTACGTGTTGCATACCCACGCCTCCTTCAGTGAAGGCTGCCCTTGTTAGCACTAAAAACTCCCATTTCCTCTTTGGTCATCTGAAGCTAATTAGAGCTCCTGTTTACCGCGGACATAATCAATAGCTTTCTACAATGGATCACATAGAATCAGACCCATACTCAATGAGTCCGGTGGAGATACACAGAAATACCTTAATTAAAACACAATTTGCTCTGTAAGAGATATGTTCTCATAGATGACCGGCATTCCAAATATCTTGACACATTTAATTTATTCAAAGCAAGACTTTTATGGAACTTTTCACTAATCAGATATACTTGGGTGCTTGGTGAATTTCCCTTGAAAACATTTCGAAGTGAGAAAAGTTGGTACTGAGGATTGTACATTTGTGTTTATTAACATTTGGATATAAACGTACTTTGAACACCAATAGAGCTAAAAGACTAAGCCTTTGTCTTGGATTTCATAGATTTCCCCTCCCCGACCCCCCCCAGAATTTGATTAATCTTACAAGGCAGACATCAGTGGGCAAAGGGGATCAGTATGAAATATGCACCACGGTCTCCTCCGCCACCCCCTGTCCCCATGTGGGAAGAAAGCTAATGCTCCCCACGCTCTCTTAAGGTAGAATCTCCTCCCTTTTCTCCAGTTTTGGAGAAACATGGCCACTTGTACTTGACCATTGTAGATTCTGAACCTCACCATCTAAAGCAGACTTCAAAAGTGCACTTGCGGGTCTATGTTCGTTTAAGGAAGAGCACAATGGAAGATGATGTGCAGTTACACAGGCAGATGCCGTGTGGAGAGCGTCCTGTTCTACCTACGCCAACCAACGCATCTCACCAGACCTATGCTGATCCTCTTGATTCAAAAACCTTTCCTTTTTCGCATAGTCAGTCACAGTCTGTCACAGAGGACACAGAACAAGATGCAAGCAGATTCCTGACGACCTTCGGACCAAATGGTTCTAAGCAGAGGCCAAGACATCACAGTCGGGGTAAAGAAAACCCCTAGGAAAAGACCTGTGTCCCCTGGCATGGGTCTGCTTCAAAAGAGAGGGCAACACACCCCTGTCCTGTCCCAATCTAAGCTGCCTTTGTCATATGACCTGAAAACCCAGGTGCTAGATGGTGTCAATGGCAAGGGTGCCATTAGACGGTGTAGAACATTCACACGTGGCTGCTGGTCTCCGCACAGGTACGCATGCTCGCATTTCACGAAATGACAAAAGACGATGCTTGGTGATTCTGTTCCTCCAGCCTGTCCCCAGTAACGTGATGCAGAGCTTTCTGTTTAAGCACAGGGCTCCTCAGAGCCTGCTTTTGAAGAGCTGTATTTTTTGAAGTTAATATTGGAGCTTACACTACTTAGGAGAGAAAAACAAGCCCCATGTATTTTGTATTAAACCATCAGTAAAAAATGAAAACAGTATCATTACTTTCAAAATATAGAAAGCCAATAGTTGAAATCATTTAGTAGTAAAATTGTTTCTCTACATATAATCTCAGGTAAGGAGTATTAGAGTGACACTTCAGTTATATTTGACTCTTGTTAATTTAAGGGCTTCACACTCAGGTAAGGCCTAGAAGAGTGTCGTTCAACGATCCAGGTACTGTGAAGTTGCAAACTCATTCTCCCTCTCTAGTTGACTATAAGATAGATATTATATTTGGATGTTACAGGTGTTTTTTGTTTTGTAGGAGAGTGTAGAACTGTTTACAGTATATAAACATTAGCACGGAAAATGCTAGTACATATAGAAAGGTGAACATCAGTACAAGTTTGTGTCCACAAAGTCTACTCTTGATGAGAACTTTTCGCTTTGTGGCAAAAGAAACTTGGCGTCTATGTCAGGCTACAGTTTATGTCATCAGAAATCAAAGCCATTACATGAGATATGGAAGATTCTTTAGAAATGCTAACTCGTTCTCTAGCTAGTGAAGGCCAGAATTAAAACTGTTGCAATCATCATCATCATCATCATCATCGTCACCATCATCATCATGAAAAACATGGCCCCAGTCTGCTTTACAGCCAAATTTACAAAGTGTCCCTTTAAAATACAGCATGCCCCAAAGCCTCTGAGTCTGGAATGTGGCATCGCATCAGGTTTTCCACTGAAGCCCCTAAGGATCACAAGAAGCTTTCTTAAAAACAAAAAAAGTTCCAGTTGGATGGAACTATTTCTCAACCGAGCTCCTAAAACTGGAATTTCAGATATACAAGAGGACAGGAAACAGATAACTTGGTTTTTGTCTTTTTACATGTCCATACTGTTTTCTTAAATGCAGCTACGATGTTTCTGTCAAAGATAAAGATAACAGGGCGGACAGAGCGGTTACCACCAGCCCCAGCAGTGGGCTCAGACCGCAGCGTGGAGGAGCAGCCATCGATTTTGTGGTTATGTGGCTGGAAGGACCAGGGAGACCATTCTTTTCATACTCGTGCTGCAAGAAAGAATATTTTCATTATCACCCACTGCATGTATTCATTCCACCACGGCGTATTTTAACTGCACTCCTCTCTCCCACTTCCTACTCACTCACTGACCCAAGAGTTTACCACTGAGACTCCAATTCTCTGACTTGTTTTATGGGAAGGAACCATGAACCTGGGTGAGAACCAGATACTTTTGACAAACTGGCCAAGTTTACTACTCACTCCTCCATTATGGATTATTAAAATCCACTTGTGGAGGGGTGATACTTGAACTCAGGTATCCCTGCCATTCTTTACCTCTCTCTCCAGTCTCCCCAGTAACTGTAAAACCTGGATCCCTTCTCCTGGGGACCACCAACTGCGAGGGAATGTTTGCTGTCTCTCCATGCCATGGAGAAGGGCAGGAAGAACCACCTTAGAAAACTTGCCCAGTCAGGTTCATGAACAGATGGGTCACAAACATCATCAGAGACAGGCAGAGCAGGCAGCAGCCCTTCCCTCCACCAGCCAGTTCAATTCTAGATTTTAGAGATGAGTAGTCAGAGAGAGCAAGGAGCTGCCATGCTCATCGGTGGGAGAGCCCAAACCAGAACCCAGGCTTCCAGGCCCCCAGCCGGCACAGCTTCCTTCCCCAGGATCGACTCCTCCATCCCCAACAGCAGCGCCTGCTCAATCCCATAATGCCTCACCCCACACAAGGAAGCAGGATCTGCACACAGCAGAATTTTCTCCTCACCTGTCAAGTGTGGACAGTAATGCACCTGCCCTGTCTATCTACCCCTGGGTTCTGGGGGTCAGAGGAACTGTAGATAGAGAAGATCTGGTGAGCAGTGACAGTTTTTATGTATCTGCTCTGAGCCAGATGACTTTCCAAGACTGTGGCCAGAGAGCGTCTCATGGTGCTGCAGGGGCCGGTCCTGAGCTGAAGATCCCAGGTTCCACACTGACTACCAGCTTTGTGAACTGGGATCCAAAGTCTGTCCCTTGCTCAAAGGTCAGACAGACATGAAGGGTGGCTTCTATTTTTTCTAGACCTGAAATCTTATTTTCTTTGAACCCTTTATATCACACCCTGCCCCAGGGGCCCAAAGGCTATGTCTCCACAAATGCAGGGAGCCCCCACAACTACCATAACTTACATCAGAAATGCAGAGGTGTGTACTGCCCGACACATTGGATTTCAGCTTCTGTGCCTGCAGAGAGACAAAAAGAAAAAAGCTCAAACATAACATGGAAGAGTAATGACTGATGATCCATTAATCCGCTGTCAGGGAAGTGCTGTCTGATAAATATGTGAGCCGCAACTGTGAGCCCATACATAATTTAAAACTTTCTAGTAGCCTCATGATAAAAAGATAATAGGTGAAGTTAATTTTAATAATATATTTTATTTAACCCAATATATTACCATTTCAACATGTAACCAATATAAAAAAATATCAATGAGATACTTTACATTCTTTTTTTTCATACTAAGTCTTCAAAATCGGCATGTTTGACATGGCACAGCACAATTCGGACTTGCCCCATTTCAAGGCTAGTGGCCACTGTAGGGGCAGCACAGGACGACGAACTTACTAAAGAAGAAGTTTAAAGTGCTCACTCATTTACACTTCTGAATGTTAATTTTGGGCAAGTACCTCCTTCTAGGTAAAAATATTGCAATAAAAATCTCGATGTATTAGTAATATAGAGAGAGGTCTCCCTGAACTTATTTGTTAATTTGTTTATTTGGTGCTGCGGCCAACAAACACGCACTGAGCACCTACTGTTTTCCACGGCTGGACAAATGGTGGGGAACAAAACGGATGGGTCCCCTAGGCTTAGGGGGCCCCCTTCTAGTGACTGGGGACTTCACTGTCTGGGGACTAAGGCACAGGGCAGGGACCCTGCTGGATGGGTACCCACAAGGGATCATGCAGGGCATTACAGATCCGCAATCCGGCCATTTGAGGACTGCTTTCAGGGCGGTTGCCAGGGGGCTGAGCTATGAAGGCACAGAGTTCCCTTTGTCCCCTCAACCGGAACAACTCTCCACTGGGCTTCTGCCTGAGAATTTAGTGCAAAGAAAGACTATATTGCTCATCTGCAAACAGGGTGACCACTGGTTAAGCGTCACAGCTGAATCCAGGAGTACCTGGGCAGCCAGCCCTGTGTGGACAGCACTGGCAAGCTGCCTGTTGCAAGACTTTTGCAACTCGCTGAAGACATGCTAGGCTGAAATGAGAGCATATTCACCCAAGGAGTAATTTATTGACCATAATGCTACTTGGGAGGCATCATAATCTTTACTTATATTTGCATATGCCAGCTGTGAATATGAAATAGAAACCTTTAAACAGGCATCAGGAATAAGACACTGCGAAGCATCCCTGGGCTGTTCAAAGGTCACTAAATGTTATGTATAAGAAGATCAGAGGAGAAATTGGAAGAGGCATTGAACCCGACTCAAAAGCCTACTTTTAATCTATATTAATGGCAAATCTGGTCCACTGCATTGTTACCTATAGAGAATACTGTGTAGAACTTTACATGTTTTATTTCTGTTCAAGTTTAGAATTGAGCCCAGGAGCCAAAATGGCCCTAAAGCATCACATTCTGCCTTTTCTAGGCCATAATCTACAAAAGACATAAACCCTTTTAAGAGCCTTTGCATAACTAATAAGTTTACTAAACTGCACAGAGAAGGCAGCATGACTTCTAGACTGGGACACAATATGCCCCCGAGTTGTTTCTGAGTTTTTGGTCACAGCTAAGCAGCACCTCAGTGTCCTAGACCATGGCAGCCTCTATGAATTCTGAGGGCTGGGCAGGCCTCCTTCCTGCTTTGTTCTGTATGATTAGCACCAGCAGGTAGTGTTTTATTCATTGTACACACAATCCGTGGCACTGGCTCGTTCTACTGCAGGAACCTGTTGACGTACTAGTATAATCCCTCCATTATTAAATGATTGTAAACGATATTTCATCAGTGGGCTAGAAAAGGCCTCCATGTTAACAGATTTTCTTAAGTGGACTCTATCTGCATATTAGGTAGGGTCGATTTCTGACCCTCATTAGTCTCTGAGAGTTTCACACTGCATAGCGGATTTATAACCTTCAACCCAGTGGATATGCACAGGTCTAAATTCACCAGTTCTTGGTCTCCGTCTGGGAATGGCTGGAATAATGCTTCAATCACACAGGAAAATGCACTTAGGCCAGCTCTAAGTCTCTGGGCTCTTGTTCCCCCAAAGTGGATATCCCCTTGGTCTGTATATAAAGGAAATGGTCAAATTCTAGCCTTGTAGACCCATGGGCTGGACTAAAGCTGGACACAGCAGCCACCAAGCTCATCTTGCCTGGAGGACCATTCTGGTTGGTATAACTGGATGAACTGCTGAGCCCAAGTAAGAGTGTGCAGCCAGGCCCCTGCAGAGGCTCTGGGACACGCCTTATCTCCTGCTAGACACCTGCCCAACACACAGAACCACTACCCTCCAGAGGCTAGCAGTCCACATGTGGGCCTCAAAATGCTCTGTTTACACAGCATGTTTCCTAAAGAGCGGTCTGGGAGCCTGGGGAAGCCACCGGGACTGCAGAAACAGAGCAGAGCAGCCCTGGAGTTCCACCTGAGCCTCGCACAGGCCACCGTAAACCTGTGAGTCTGATGAGAAGGTGAAGGGCAAATGTTACCTGTCACTGGAATGGCAGGTGGCACAGGGGTAACAGAATCAAAGGATTGTACAGAGATATGGGATCTCTTTAAATCTCTCACCAGGCCGGGCGCGGTGGCTCACACCTGTAATCCTAGCACTCTGGGAGGCCAAGGCGGGCGGATTGCTCAAGGCCAGGAGTTCAAAACCAGCCTGAGCAAGAGCGAGACCCCTGTCTCTACTATAAATAGAAAGAAAATTAATTGGCCAACTGATATATATATAAAAAATTAGCCGGGCATGGTGGCACATGCCTGTAGTCCCAGCTACTTGGGAGGCTGAGGCAGAAGGATGCCTTCAGCCCAGGAGTTGGAGGTTGCTGTGAGCTAGTCTGTCTCAAAAAAAAAAAAAATTTAAATCTCTCACCAAATCAGATGTGGGCCAGAGTGGGTCTGCTGCCTAGACTGACTGGGGTCAACAATGGACAAGTCCCTCTCACAGTATACGGGCTGCACATGGAGGCAGGGCCTGGGACAGAGAGGTGGACCACGTGTGTCCTGCTGGGTGCATGCTTATGAGTCCTGCATGCAGTGTGAACCCCTGGGGCCCACCAAGGGTCAGAAACCTACCTACACGGATCCACAGTCCACTTAAGAAAATCTGGGTCTTAAAACCCACTTTAGAAGCCTGAGAAACCTGTTATTTCTACATTTTAAAGGCTTTTATCCTGAGCATTTTTGAAAACATCATCAAGCTATCACTGTCTTGCTAGTCAGGTATGATAAATGCAAACAGATAAAATTACAGGGCGTCCCCTGCTTTCAACTATTGCAAAGAGTACTTCTACACCTTAAACGCTGTCTCAGTTGCTGAAAATTGGGACAGTCCCAGGAGAATTAAAAGGCAGAAAAAGAAACAACAACTTCTGAGACTTTGTAAGGTTTAAGGGAAGCTAGAAACTAGAAGAGCACCTTTCATCCCTGAGTTACAAACCGGTAAAACCAAGGGTGTTAAAATGGAAGCGTTGGCATGGTGCTCTTCTGTGAGCCCTGCAGCCCTGCTAATTATGGGATATGCAGAGACCCAACACAGAGCTAAGCCAGCCTGTACCTACCTAGACACTAAACCTCACAGTTCATGGCTTTAAAATATGATATGTCTTTTAAAAAGAGATAAAGAGGAGGATGTATTTTATTGTTCTAAAAGTCAATTTGATCCACTGCTATGTTATATTGAAAAATGAATTATTTAATCTCTTTTATGAAACAGTGTTTTCTAACATCTAATTTATAGTCAGAGAGTTTGAGGAAATCTGCCTGACACTGAGTTGGGAAAACACTGCCACCAAAACATCATACCCTGAGGTTTTCATCTTGAGAATGGGATGACGGAAAGCATACTAGAGAAGCCTATCCCCAAATTGGAAGCCTTCCCCACATTCTAGAAAACCAGGGAAACACTTGTTCTTTAGGCACTTCACAAGCCTTGTCCCTCCAGCAGCTGTTGCTCTGCTGTTATAAAATTGTCACTGGATTTATCCGCAAGTCCAGGCACGTTGCATGGAAGAATGTCCAGGGCACTGTAATTGCGAGGCCAGACCTCGCCAGTCCCTGGCACCAGAGGGTTAACAAATGCATTAGATGCTGTTAACCTCTGTTACCTGGAGTCAGAGTGGTGGCTCTCCTGCTTTTTACCCCAGTGATTAGCATTGGGAAAGCCTGCCCTGGTGCCAACAGCCTTCCTGTGCAGAACACAGATGCACACATCATCTATAGCTCTCAGTCGAGTCCCCACACGGGATCTGCCCACAGTAGGCTCTCCCCGAACTTCTGGGGCAGGTCAGGCTAGCGAGCAGCATGCTCGCTCTGATTATGGAATTGGGGACTTAAAAGTGTACCCACTCGGAGCCTGGCCTTTGCTGCCCCAGGACTCCATTTCTGTAGAGAAGCCAGTGTTTAATGTCGGGTTTTTAGGCAGCTGTCAGCCAGCAGGGCATGGAACATTTCTCTGCTCTCTTCCGTGCATAAGAAAAGCCAGTTTCTGCTCTACCTCCAGAAAATAAAACCAGAGGAAGTTGCCCAATCCAATAGCAACAGACTGTCCAGGCTGCAGCCAAATAGTCATAATTAATGATGCTCTGGTTCTTTTCTCCCTTGCTTTACTGATTAGAGAGATTTGCTATATTAGGAACCTGTTTGCTTAATGACAGAATACAAGCAATAAACAGAGAAATACACAGACTGTAAAATGCAATCAACTTTGCTCTCCAGCACTAAGTACCTAGTTGCATCTATCACACTTGTCAATAGCCGTTTATTAGCATATGAGTCTCTTCTGTGGCATAAACTGGACCTTTGCTAAGGAAAACCATTGCATGACTTCTTCCCCGAATAGTCCAGAAGCAAAAGAGCTCAAAGTCTTTTCTCAATTGAAATCTACATATCTTATGTTTCCTTGTAAGACGAAACATAAGAAGAAGGATGTGCACCTAATTCCGAAGGATAACTGAGGAGAGGAACCTGCTCCAGAGTGTACGTTACTCACATTGTATTATTAAT